GACTTGGGTGATCATCAGTGTGTATGATTTTCATTCTGGGACACAATTTAGGTTTGGCTTGGATATTCCAAAAGGCATCTTTGTCAAAGCTTAGAGAAAATGCTGTTACTCCAAGACAAAAACAAAGCACTCTATTAATAAGCAACCTACCCCTTAGAGCATGTAGGTATCAAAAACAAACTGAAACTGGACTGAATCCCCATGCCTTCACAGTCCATGAGATTGCAATCCATTTTGCCACTTCCCTATCTTAGACCAGAAGTCCTATGACCCTCGCCCCTCTTGCCCTCACTGACAGAGACAGTGTACCAACAGATCTGGCACATCCAAACAACACTTCCCACAACTCAAAAACTATGCAAACTATTGGCCTGTTCTTGACATAATGCACCTTCAACACCTTTGACACAAGCTTCTTTCACCAAGGCACCAACAAAGCCATTGTAGAGAGACAACCAGAAACTCATAGATTATCTCTCTAGTCAATCTTAAATATGCTTGTACATGTCCATTGTAGACAGCATATGTTCAAGTAAAATCATCACTACTGGTACAGAATAATTGTGATCTCCACGTTTTGTTGAGTGAAGGGGCAGAAAATCGCCTTGTATCTATCAAGAGGGAGGGGTCTACCCGATGTGATATGCAGCATGCAAGCATTAGGAAACACTCTAAGCCAAGGGCTGCAGTGACCCTGAAAAATGGTTAGAGGCAACAAAGTAAGTGCAGAGAAGAATTTACAATTGCATTGAAGACATCTGGAGTACTAAGGATTGGGTGGATTCCCCTAAAGGTGAGATCTCTCACAGGGATTATGTGCTTGTCATTTATTGGGAATGTGATGAATGCTGCAAGCTCATTGGCAGAAGTGATCATGGGCATTGAAATTTCAAGATGGGAAAGATGTGGGAGGTATTCCATACATGACAAGATGTCAGAAAAGACATTTGGATTTCTTTCAGGATGGTAGGGATGAAATGTAATGTATAGGCATTGGAAGTCACTGGGAAGGGTGATTACCTTCAGAAGGGAGAGGATCCTGGTTGTGGGTCCTGGTTGTGGGTCCTGTGAGCTTTTGAAGGGAGTGAATGACAGAATGATGAGTGATATCTTCCACAGACATGGTAGGAAAGCCAAAATGGGAGATAGTTAGCTTGGAGACAGCCTGATGCACAATTAGACAGGTAGTGAGGGCACCATATGGGCAAGTTTGGTCCACCTCCAATTCAATGAGCGAAGGCAGGTTAACCTTGCCAAGGAGTACCACCCACTGTAAAGGACTTAGGCCTGTATTTTTAAGCTGTAAAATTGTCAGTGGAGCACTTCACAGCACAGAAAGGGTAAACTGGACAGAGTGGGGAAAAAAGAACATAGGCAAGGAGATATTGAGGGCTGTCAGGGTGCTTGGAAACAATTGGATCATGTGAGGAATATGGACCAAGCCACCAGAAGTGCTATGGCTGCTTGCATGATGTTCAGTGCACCCAGAGCCTAGTATGCTTGCTAGCAGAGTGCCAAATATAGGGGACATGCCTGTCAGGTCAACATATAAGTCCAAGTGCACTTTACAGACTGCTTGTGTATCCTTGAGGGAGTCGAAGAATGTGCACATTGCACCTAGCTTTCATCTACTTAATGTTCATTAAGGAAGAGTGCAAACACACACCTAATTGTTGCCTGTTTAATGTTTGTGAAGACCTGAACCACAGAGTCTTCACTGGTTTAAATGCAATGTGCCTCCACACAGGGAGGGCATCACAACCTACCTCATTCACATCCAGCCAACCAGCAATTGGCAGCCTGAAGCCTACTGTGACAAGATAACAATGACCAGCAATGCATTGTAGTCATCAGGATACTTGGGACAATCTTCAAAGTGAATCTGTGTCCAACAGCAGCTCATCTGGAACTTGTGACAGATGGCAATCCTGGGGCACCTCCTAGATGCTATAAGAAAAGCACAAATCTTGACACTGCTAGCTACTTACATATTTTGCAGGGAGCCCCATGCAACCACATGCAGGTGGCTGGCAGGAAGTACCCCTCACCTTCTTTTTGGAAGGAGGTCCCAGGGTATCTTCTGCTTTGCATTTGGGAACCTGCCCACACAAATTCTTCTATTAGAATACCATTTAGTATCAAATAAGAGTGAGAAAATATCCAGTACACACCAGCATGGCTTCACACCTGGTGATGTTGTGCATTGAGTTTCCAGCACAAATCGCCAGCTAACCCATTAAATATGCAGAGGACACCAGAGGCTTTATCAGACAACATAATAGACTCGCCAACTTGACACTACATTTGGTTGCCTACTGCAACAAAAACATCATCAGAGATGGACTCTCAATATCAACCTTTCCATCACAGTTGCCCTCATTTGATTGTAATTGTGTTTGTGATTGTGTCTGCCACTTATGTCACCACATCTAAACAGCTGATGGGCCTTTTGTTTGACATGTAATATTCCAGAAAACCACAACACAGTATTGCATTGGAAGATAGCTAAAATATAATCATGGTGGCTAATGAATGACCTAAAGATGCATAGTTGATTAAATCAAACATGTATGGGGTTAGTATGTGACCTACCAGTAGTAATGGGTATGCAGTGTCAGAAGGTGCATATACCTAAATACATGACAAATTTGAGGGATCTTCCACATGGGGGGAAGCCTTCCACAGGTGAAAATCAGGAATGGACAAGCAACAATAACAATTGACATGCATCAGTTATTAATTGCAGTTGCAAAAATGAGTGACTTACTTGGTGAGAACAAAAAAAAAAGAAAAGAACTGACATAATTGCTGCAGCAGCAGCAGGATACACATCAGCAGACAACAATGGTAACAATCATGAGGACCTGGATATGCATGGTTAACTGGGGGAGCTGTAGATTGTTCATGCTTACAGTAAATCTATATGAACATTCGAACTACCATCAATAGTAACCTTTTCAAATTTAATTTTCACATTGATTGTTGCATCATACCATCTTCTCAAAGAACTATTATCAATAGTGAGATAACTCTAATATTACAGGTGTCTACTGCTACATTATCTTTAGTGGTGGACTGTGAGTGAAGATGGTTAATAGGTTGCAAAGTACAAAGAGCTGATGAGTGGCTTACCTGTTGGGGGTGGAAAGAGAGAAAAGGTGTTCATGAGAAAAGTTGTCATTGATATACTGAACACAACTCACAGTCATGTGGTAGCCACAGCAAAATTGCACATTGTACAATGCATGCACCACCACATGACCATGAGTTGTGTTCAGTATATCAGCAGTGAGCTTTCTCACAAACACCTTTTTCCTTCTTTCCACAGGTAAGTGGCCAATGTTGACTGCTACTATGGACTAACTGCACCCACAGCAATTAACACGATTATGCCAACATTCCAAACATCAAGTATGTAGATAGATATAGTAGCTAATCTGTAATGGCTTGTAAAGAATTGGTTTTGAGCAGCATAGAATTTTAAATACACTCTGAATACAAGAAAGACAGAAAGATTGTACCTTCAGGCTACTGTTATTTTATTGCAACAGGTCTGTAAGAGTTGTTGTCTGCATTGTTGCTCACTGAAGATGTCTGCACAGGTCCCTGTAACCTGGCATGCAATTCCATGATATTGCATACCTGTCACCACACAGGTAGGTTGCATACTAATTCTGCCTACATGTTTAATTTAATTGATTACACATGTCTAGGTCATCCTACCTGTTTAGCAGCCATTGTGGTGATGATTTTTATTGTTTTCCAATCTGAATGTAAGTTTCCAAATGGCTTGATGACCAATTGACAAGGTTGCAAAGTTAGAAACCCAATGTCATCAAGATGCACATGAGTGAGTCCAACCTTAATCCAAATGTGGCTCCAATCCATATTGTCTAACATCTTCAATAGCAGACCTCCCATTTGTTTTTTCCCATGTCCTTGCAGCAGTCCCTCACTTGTCAAAATGCATTGGTTATTTTCTGCCCTTTACAGAGCCTGACAACAGCACTTACCTCATTCCTGTGACACTTCCCATTAATACAGCTCTTCCCTTGAGTGTCAAGTCTGGGCCTACTCTGACCAACTCCAATGCTTGTTGAGGTCCAGGGAGAGGTTCAGGAGCAAGTCTGATGGAAAGAGTAGAACTCTGACTGGTGGAGTGTTGGCAGGAACAAAATCTGCCGAGGTAAGGGCAGAGTGAAGTGAGGGCATTGGGTTTAGCTCATGCACTACCCCCTTGCATGATCTCAGCCCTCATATTTCAGAGGGGGAGTACAGACGGACAGTCAGAGGTAACTCTGATAGGCAGAAGACAGAGGCAGAGGGAGTAGGAACTATGTTGATATTCATACTGAGGAATGACAGAGTATGATACATGCTTTTATACTACCATGGAGGTACAGTAACCGGAACTGGAACTGACATACAGGGACCCAGCAATTTTCAAGTAAAACTTCCTAGACAATGAATGAAGGGTAGATGGAGGGCATACAAATGGGTAACATAGAACATCCAGAAAGGAAACAGTCCAGGCACTGGACCATGCAGTGTGCATGCTGCAGAGTACCTGACTGCGACCTGTCAGGGAGGAGTCCGAATGTAGTCACATGACTCCTCAGAGAACAGTCCGCTTGGTCTGGTAGGGGAGCAGTGCAACTCCAACAGCAGCTGGAGCAGAGGACAGCTTGCAACCGGCAGAAGTTGGGCAGAGTTGGTGTGTTAGTGAGTGAACAACCAGCGGAAAGGGGTGTGGAGTGAGTGAGGACCTAGGATGAATGCATGACCATGACATTGAGCGAAAACAAAAGTGCACTCATTGAAGTGGTCATCAAGTTGGTCTACACCATTACAAATAAGGCTAGTGTCAAGCCAGGAGTTATGTCCCTTCCATATATAGCATGAAGGGGGGGGGCTTGTGGTAGATTCAGTCCCTGCTCCTACAACCAGTGTCAGTTGATAACCCCTGCAGCAAACACTGAATTGACTGTCAACAATTCAGCATGCTTCCTGCTCAAGAAGAAAGGTGCTTTGTAAGTTCAGACTCCTGCCCTGCTTGTCATGAGTAAAATTCCATGATTCTACAACCAACCTGCATTCATGATGGGATTAGGCATATGCACAAGAAACATCCACATACAAGGTGCCAGACCAGGTGTACCTCATGCAAAAGTTGGCATTTGGTCTGCATTGTCCTCCAGCTTCATGGCATTTTGCACCCTGCTCTTCTTTGCCTACCTGGTAGACTTGGCTTCCTTCATTCCATCTCTGATGCTAGGTTTTTGCAGTGTGTTAGTTTGCTTGTTCTGTGTATATGTTGTAGTACTCATGTGGGGTGCAGCCCTTGGCATTGAACCCCCAATAGAGGAAGTAGCAAAGTAATGATGTCTCCTATTTTACATGTGTAGACCATATGTAAACATCATGTATACAAGCATTGGGTGGTGATGGCAATAATCAGTGTGCATTGTTTTCATTATGAATGTTTGATTCTCATTTCATATTTAGGTTTGACTTGATTATCTTGGTCAAGGTGTGATGCCAGCAACAACTATTGTCTCATGCATTTTCTGTGACACTCTGCACCAACAATAACAATCTTACCATATATCATCTCCTGTCATAGCCAATTTTCACCACACAGATGGCAGAACCTACTCATCACACAAAGTGTTCCCACAACCATCTCCATCCCTACATGCATTCTGGTTCGTCATTAACATCCTTTACCCCATCTGCATCTTCATGCTCCTCCCAGCTGGTCTGATGCGACATGATGATCTGGGGCACTTCTGGTAACTCCAGTGCACAATGAAATTGGAATGCCTGATTTTTGATGAACATATGCAGCAGTTAGTGGGAGTGACAGTACTTCTACACAAGCAACACAGTATTTCAGTGCTAGCTCTGGCATAGTAAGTACTGTTACTATGCTCAATCCACTTCATGTCAACCCAGCATCATTCCAAGATACCGATATCCAGTCTTCTAGCTCTGGCAGTGAGTACCTATTACTTCACTCAATCTACTTCACCTCAACCAAATGTTGTTCCAAGATACCCAGTCATCTTTGGTTAATCTCGAAGCCTGCATCATCAGTATAGCATGGCACCACTTAGCAGACTTCCAGGGACCAATGGATGTGAAATTCTGCAATGATATTGAGTGTGTAGCTGCAGATGCCATTGGTTTAGCTTTTGGAATCATGCAGAGGTACATGAGAAGTGTAGGGTATCCTCGGTCTTGATTACATCTCTGCTTAGTGCTTCCTTGACATCTTTCCCAAGTTGCTTCCCCACATAATGATGACTCCTGTGATTCAACCCAGGTCTGTTTCTCCACCTTCCTATGTTGTGTTCTGTCTAAGATAAGCAGCAGGGGCAAACAGAATCAGTAGGATCAAAGAAATTGTTCATTTCTGGTGCATGGTCTCAATCAGATGTCTGTCATTAGACTAAGGTACAATTGATTATATTAGGGACAAACCAATAAGAAAAACACAGAGAAGCATGGTGTTCGCAACCAGGCAACTAACTCCAAACAATGAGAATGCCATCATGACTAATTGATCAGAAACAATAATGTGGGTAACAATAACCTTCCCACCCTCATAAACACCCTAATAAATTCCTCAATTCCTCCCAGTGACTGAATCAAACCAAATCTCCATGCCTCTTGTCAGGTTGCAATGTGCAAGGTCTCAATCTGTTCCTCCCCTTGTCCCCCACCTGGTGGAGGCTTTGCCCCTGTTATCCTCACAGGCCAAGATAGTGTATCAACAGGTCTGGCATGTCATTGTGGTAGTGGAGCAAGAAATGAGGCCCATGAGCTGTCAGACCTCTTTGGAGAATAGGAAGGAGCTGTGTAGGGTGCAGTCACCCCAGTCCAGTCAGATGCCTGCTAAGGATACATCCAAATTGCCTTGGTCACAGTCACCCAATCAGGATACACCCAAATCACCTCAGTCACCAAAGACAGTCAGTTTCGCTGGTGTTGATGTTGGGGAACCACAATCTTCACCTTCACCCTCAGACTCCTCACTCACCAGCCTCGAGTTTATTGAGCTTACCACTAAAATTCAGAAACCACCTAGTGAGGTAGGCCATCTGGGAAGGGGTGGATACAACCTTGAGGAGCACTTGTGATGGAGTGACAATGAGATGCATAGAGTCAAGGTATGTACATCTTAGACAATGTGCTTCATTAACTAAGGTAAGACTTGGCAGCAAGTCATCCACACAGCAGTGAAGAAGTATCTCAATATGACAAAAAGCAGGAGCTATCAGGATTCCGAAGCTGTTCAGAAAGTCACTGGCATTGTAGGCTGTTTATTGTGTCCAGAGTGAATTTACTCACCCATTTTAGGCCAGGCAATGGTCCCTGTGGCTCGAGGACTATGAGCACTGTTGGCCCATTCTTGATATGATCCACCTTCATCTCAAGTACCTTTCATCAAGGCACTGGCAAAGGTGAGAAGAGACACCTCACCTGAGTGAACTGTCAGACTCAAACTGTAGGTGGGTGCTCAATGTGCTGGATACAGCCAGCCCAAAGTACCTTGTACCTTTGTGCCTAGAATCCATCATACACATGCATCCCACTCTGACTTATAGCTATCACCCACATATCCACTTGTATGCCCTATTGTTTAGATGGTTGCTGCATGCCATCTTTCATGTCATCTCATATGAATGTGATGAGATCTTTATTGTGTTGTGCTCATGAACTAAGCCTAAACCTAATGCACACCAAGTCTGTGCATTCTAACCTACAATACTGAGATTGACAGTGCATGCATTGTGCGATTTTGCTGTGGCTACCATGTGATCATGAGTTGTGTTCATTTTGTATCTATGATTTTGTTTCTACATTTTTCTCCATTGTGCTGCCTTTGCTGCCATTAGACAGTTGTAAGGTACTAAGCACAACTCATGATCATGTGCATGTGTCAGGTTTGGCACTTTGCTTAAGTGGCTACCATGTGATGGTGAGTTGCATTCAGTATATCAGTGGCAAACTTTCTCACAAACACTTTTTCCCTCTTTTCACCATCCCACAGGTAAGTGGCTGATGTACAGTGCTACCTGTGTGCTAACTGCATCCCACAGTTGTGTCATATCCTTCACAGTAAGTCACTGGCATGATGTTTGATTCAAAATCACTCATTGCAGTTCAAGCATTCCACCCAATAAACATGCATGGTAGGGTATTGTGAGTGGCATCTGACTTGATTGCCACTGCGACAGCGATTGGCAACTCAAAGTACAATGTCTGAGTGCCATTGAGCATTTAACCCAATAGATGTGCATTTGTATATGCATAGACACTGTCAACCATAATAATTAAGGTAGCTTGTAGTAACTTATCAAAGTGGGCATTACAGAATTTCAATAATACCAGTGTAGACCAAGATATAATGAAATTGTGCATGCTTGATTAAAGATAAGCACAATGTATGCTGCATACTCAGTTATCAATCTGACTACATACCCCTAGATCATTCTTATTGTCCACATCAAAAGATACCATTTTTTGTCCTCTTGTCCAGGACAATAGCAGTTCTGGTTGCTGAGCTTAGCACCCATCCCCTCAAATAGCAGAAATTGTCACCTTATATTGCTTCATTAGTACTTCCCCCTCCACTCTATTTACTGCTCACTAGTTACCTCCAGCTCTATGACAACCCTGCTATCAATAGAACCAAAGGTCCAAATCACTGCTGCTCTCCTCAATGACAAGGCATTCACCTTTCTTGAGAGGTTCACATGCAAAGAATTCACTGACACCACCCTCCTATTCAATGTTGAAATCAAGCTTGCCATTGCTGGCATTGCCTTCAAATTGGAGGAATAGTTAGACCTGATCAAGATCATCATATTGAATCCAGGGGGCATGGGGATAAATGCCATCAAGGCTGTGCAGAAGCTCGAACAAGCTAAGGTAGCCCCAGTAGTTCCCTTGTTGGAAGATGCTGCCACATGGCAGTTGGTTTTGCATTGGGCAACTGACAATAGCCTTTCCTTTGGCATATTCTTGATGGAGATGGAGAAGTTCAGCAACAGGTACCAGTTCAAGAAGTGGAAGTTCATCTTTGACCAAGTATTTGAAGCCTCTTGGGAGGGTACTGCTGTTGAGGTCATTAGGGCAGCCATGGCTGAGCATGGCATCATCAAGCCCTCTAGTAAGTAGATCTTTAAATCCTCGCAATTTACTGACATCCACTAGGTGTACATGATCCCCCCCCTGCTCAAGCTTCTTCCTCCCATAAGTAAACTTCTCAAAGCAATTTTGTAAACCAATTCATTCTGTATCTCACAGGCAACATCTCCCATGTCATCCTCTCCCCCCAAGCTCCTTCATCACAGACTCATAACCCAATGTTCACCTTAGGTTTTGGATCCCTTGCTAACCACTCAATCAGGCAAAAGCTCACACAGATCCCACCACTCTCTATGCCCAGTGAAGCATCCAAGAATGAGCATGTCTGCTTCTTGATATCTGGATATTTCTGCACAGGAGGATGAAGAGGACAAAGAGGAAGATGAGGAAGATGAACTAGACAATGAAGTGGACCACCACCCAAGGGTGACCACAATAGCTCCATCAGGGTGTGTGAATCTAACTCAACAGCTTGAAAGCCTTTTCCACCACTATGGTGGTGAGGGGAGTGCAGAAGGGTCAAGGGTGAAGGTGCATCAGCAGGGCCCAGTTCATAATGTCAAAGATCATATGGAGGTGAATACAAATTGGACTCAGCCAAAAGTATTCAAGGTCATGCTGCCCTCTGGTATGTCAAGTCTCCTCTTCACTCCTTCACTCAGGAACTTACCTGGTCTCCATTAGCTCATTCTGCAGGATTCATCCTCCAGCACTTCAAGCTGGAGGGCCTGGAATGCAAGACCTTCTGTTCAGTCCCTTGCCACATATATGTGGAAGCTCCCAGTGTGCATGACATCTGACTCAGGCTCCCCCCTTCACATGCCAATCTTGTCCCACAGATCATGCTGGTACCAATGGAAGAAATGGAATCCTTTGCACAGCCCCATGACATACCCATTCACTCTTGGGTTTGCTTGTTAACAGGCAGCCTCAAAAATGAAATTGCCTATGTACAGCATGTCGAAGGTGACTCAGTGTACATTCTCATCATTCCTTGGAATTTGCCCTACATCTCTGGTGGTGAGAACTCTGTGGTCCACCAGGAGCTTTCTGATGTGGACCTGGCCTATGAACATGGCCTGGAGGTAACCCTTACCCTGAGTCCAGAGGGGCATACTATCACCCACTGCCTTGGGTCTCAGTACCACTGTGGCCTTCTTCATGGATATTTTCAAAGGTGTAATGTTGAGCCAGTGAACCTGCCTACTCCTGAGAAAATTGCATGGTTTATCATGTCAGGCATGGATCCCACTTTGGTCACATGTACCTTAACTTGTTTCTCTGCTCAAAGGTGGCAGGTAGGGGACCATGGCAAGATTCAGGCCAGGGAGTTTGTCAACAAGATAGCCTACATCGCAATAGACATCCAAGGTGAATCAGTGATTGTTCATTTGGATAATCCTACCCTGGAACTGCCTGCATCTCTGGAGATTTCAATTTATGACTTCAAACACAAGTATCACAGTGGCAATTCAGTAGAGGTCATTGCTGGCCCTCACTGTGGCTTTGAGGGCATGGTACTTAGTGTTGACATGATCAAGGACATGGCTCTATTGTGTGGCAATGACAGACAACAGGAAAGTCAGGGTATTCAGAGTAAAATCCTTTGCTGATGCTTGCTCATAGATGGACATCCCTATGATCTTCCTGGCATCGCACAGAGCACTGCTGAGCTATCCCAACTGAGACATAAACAAGTCAGGTGCAAGTCATTGGAGTAAGAAAGGAACAAGTCATCCATCAGAGAGGGTGGTGGGACACCAGATCAAAAGGGAGACACAGTCTCAACAGGTATTGGAAATACCGTGACAGCAGGAGATCCAAGTGACCCATGCAGCATACAAACCCCTAGGATGGTGACAATTATGAGAGACACAACAAGGCACATGATGCACGTGACTGTACAGAGTCAAAAAAGGAAGGACCCCTGATGGAAGCATAACATCACCCCCCCTCTAAGGTCCTCAGACCCTTGAGGACAGGCCAGGCACATTGACAGGGTGAGAGCAAAGGGGTTGGCAAGTAGTATACATGTGGGAGCGAGTTCATGCAGTGACAGGCAGCGAAGGTGATGGAGATGACAGCTCCTCAAGGGCCGGAGTAAAGTGGGAGCCACGTCTGTTGCAGCATGACCAATGTCCCAGGTAACGACACTGGAAACATGCATGTTGATACAGGACATGGTCAGCGGGGACAGGAGACTGTCTGCCAAGGTAAAAACAAAGCTGGTCAAGAGGGACAGGGATGAAGGGAGTCACAGGGAGAGGGTCGGAGGAATGGATGGTGTTATGATATTGTTTGTGCAATCTGACCCAAGAGGCATCCTGCAGAAAGACCTCCCAAGTGGAGTTATGAGTTCCTGTCCCCAGATGAGCAGCAACCTCTTTAAACAAGTCTCCAGATGCCATGTACAACAGCTCCAGAGCCTTCCACTGATCCACTGCTTCCTTTTCTTCTTTGCTTTCATGAGAAGCTGATGGTTCCTCTTGCTTCGGGCGAATGTGATCAAGAAGACAGGAAGCTGGTGGGGCAAGGAATTCACCAATCTGTTGATGGAGAAGGTGGTGATAGGCACCACCTGTGACTGCTTCTAAAAGTCCTGAAGAACACTGTTCCAGCATATTGATCATTATGACCTCTGACAGGGGCGTGGTACTGGACAACTTGCAAGTACATATTCTGGAGATGGCCAAGTTGATCACATCTGTTGCTCTGTAGATTTCAGACAACAACCCAAAATACATAACCTGTTCTGGTGAGCACCCATCAATGTTGTCCCCATCATGGAAGATGTCAAGTGCCCTAACAACATCCAGGTAGTCACTTGCTGTGATTGGTAATCCTTGCTCATCATCCCTGGCAAGGGTGGAGGTGAGCATGTTGAGCGCAGCTCGTTGACTAGCACCAGAGTAGGTTGTGAAGGTGGTGCGAAGGTTGGTAGGTTCAGGAGCATGGGACTTATGGGCTTCAGCTGTTCCTGTATTGGAGTCATTGTCAACTCTTGCCTTACCCTTTCCCTTTTGGTTACTGTCTCCCTTGAAGGAGACTCTGGCCTTGGGGACAGGGACCCTCCTGACCAAGAAGCCCTGGAGTGGATGCAGTCTGAGAGGGCAGGCGACAGGGGGCAATGTCAAACGAGGTTGCAAGACAGGGGACAAGGGGTATGAGTCAGGAAAGCCAGAGGAGGTCATTGGGGGAGAGGTTGGGGCATAGACAGTGATGGGGGGTATGAAGACTGGGTCATGGTCATAAAGGGATTCACTGGCAAGGGGGAGGTTGGCATAGTCATTCTCAGTGTTAACAGAGCGAGGGGAGTCCGTTTAGTTGTGAAGGTGATGAGTGAGCTTGTACTGGGAGAGGGCTTCCAATGTGTGGTCTTTTATATGTTCCTCAGGTTCCCAAGTGTTTGATGAATGAGGGAAACCCTTCCATTTGACCAAATATCATCATTTACCTCTGTGCCCATCAACCTTGTGATTTATTATTGACTTGACCTCCCATTCAATTTCATTGTCAACAAGCTCTGGTAGTGGTGCTGGCAGAGCTTTCCCGTAGGTGTCATTTTCCTGATATGGGTAAATGTGAGACCTGTGGAACACAGGGTGTACTTTCCACATTGGAGGTAACTCCAATTGGAAGGCCACAGGTGATACCACTTGAGTCACCTGGAAAGGCCTGAGATGTCAGGGTGCAATCTTGTCACATTGGTTTTTGATGTGAAGGTGCCCAGTTTCCAGGAGAACTTGATCTCCTACCTTGGGCACAACATATGAACCTTTCAAGTGCACACGCATCAGGTCCTGTGCCTTCTTGTGTGCAAGAATGGCGACATCTCTGTTTGAGGCCAATCTTTCTAACCTTTCATTGACCGAGGGAGCCACAGTTAGCCAAACTTCGGGATAGGGGGATGGGTCATAACCCAAGAGGAGCGAAAACAGTGTCATTTGATGGATGGAGTGGATGCAGGAGTTATGGGCAAACTCGGCAGATGGGAGTTTGGCTGCCCAAGAGTTTGGTGCTTCGGCACAGTACAGCCTTAGGTACCCTTCCACTTCCTGATTGACACGTTCACTTTCTCCATTGGTTTGCAGGTGATACCCTGTAGAAAGCTTGGTCTTTACCCCTATACTCTTGTAAAGTTCTCTGGTAAATGAAGATGCAAACTGCGGTCCTCAATCAGAGATCACTGAATCTGGAATTCCAAATCAGGAATAGATGAATTGATGGAAGAGTCGGGTGATCCCAATGGAGTCTATTGTTTTGTGACACAGAACAAACAGGGTGGCTTTTGTGAGGCCCTGATTGACAACCATGAGAATTGAGTTGTATTTTTGCTCTCCCAAGACCAGGAGATCCATGATGAGATCCATAGAGATTTGTTGGAAAGGGAAGGGGGTTTTAGGAGCTTCATGCAGGACGACTGGCGGAGTCAGCAGATGAGTCATGACCTTGGTGGTCTGGCAAGCTGGGCATCCTGCTACATAAGCTTTGATATCTTTTCCCATACCTTCCCACCACACCTCCTTACACATTTTTGCAAACATTGCTTTTTGTCCTGGATGTCTGGTGGATTCATGGTCATGAAAGGACTGCATACAGTGGTGGTGATCCTCCAGGGGAACATACAATTGAGTTGTACTGAATCGTTTAGTTCCATCTTCTGCAACAGTGATGTTGTCCTTTGGTTCATGGACCTGCTGAGTCTTTAGGTGTGTCAGCTTCTGATGCTTTCATACAGGTCCATGGATATGGCATAAACTCCCTGTGCTCCTTTTTCTGGTTTCCTCAAAGGGCAAGCAGTCAGGCAACCTTTTCTCCTTTGACTGATCCTCAGATGGGTGAGAATAAGGCTTTGAGTTGGTCTTGGAATGCAGTTATCCATGCTGGCATGCAGTCCTATTCTACAGAGACAGTTGATTTTTAGTTGATTTTGTATCTTTGTGAAAGAAAATGACAGTGAAACAAGGCGAATTTGGGGATCCACCCCCTTGGAAAGCCAAAGGTCTGGCAGAAGGACTGTGGCAACTGGGGCAGGCTCTGTTATGTCGCTCTTGCGAGAGAGAGTGTCAGCAGGGGACCTGGAGGTGACCCGGCCTGCCAGGAGAAATGGATAGGGTAGGACTGGATAGTTGTGGCCCAGCAGGCCTGACAAGGAGTGAGCTGTTGAGGCTCATGGTAATACTCCAGGTTTTTGTGGTCTGTGAAGACCACCATAGGTTCAACTGGGGATAGGAGGTAAGGTTGGAATGCCTTGAGGGTGTGAATTGCGGCCAGCATTTCAAGGTCGTAGACCTGGTAGTGTTGCTCAGCACTGACCAGGGACTGAGAAAGGTAGGAACATGGATGCCACTCATCATCAGCTCCTTTCTGGGAAAGTACGGCACCAGTCCTGAGTTTGGAAGCATCAGTAAAGAGCGTGAATGGCTTTGAGAAATCTGGGATAGTGAGGACTGGAGAGGAGCATAACAAAGACTTTAACTTTTTGAACACAGCATCATGTTCCAGAGTCCACTGGTAAGAGACCCCTTTCTTTGTAAGGTCATGAAGAGGGTGAGCGATGCTTGAGAAGGAAGGGATAAATTTACAATAGAAATTGCAGAACCCAAGGAATCTGCAAAGCCCAGTAAGATTGTCAGGGGCTTCCCAAGTACTAATGGTGTCAGTCTTCATCAGCAACATTTCCATACACCCTTTTCCAATAATCATCCCAAGGAATTCTATTTCTTTGGCCTCAAAGACACATTTGCTGATCTTGAGGTGCAATCCTTCCTTGTTGCAGATCTTCAAGAACTCTCAGACATGGGTCCGAAGTTCTTCCTTGGTCTTGGCATGTATTGCGACATTGTCCATATATCCCACTTGTTTACCTCATTAGGACTCGAAGGTTTGGTCCATATAATGCTGGAAAGAGGGTGGTGAGTTACACTGCCCAAAGAACATTACTGTGGGCTCGAAGAGCCCCCATGGCATTATAAATGCCCCTTTCCATTCATCTCCTTCTTTTACCCTAAGGTTAGTAAAACCCCAATGGGTATCGAACTTGGCGTAATACTTGGATTTGACAAGCTCATTGAACAAGGCCTGTGCACTTGGCAATGGATGAGCATCCAGGACAGTAAACGAATTCAGGTAGTGGTAGTCCTGAATCAATCATTTCTTGCTGTCCTTCTTGGCAACGAAGAACACTGGTGCCACTTGTGGCAATGTTGAAGGTCGAATTTTTCTGCATTTCAAATTTTCATCTAAGAACTTGTCCAACACCTTAAGTTCATCAGGGGACATCAGATATACTGTTGCCTTCCGAGGTTCAAAGTCTTCATGGAGTCATATCTCGTGATCTAATCCTTCTCAGTGATGTGGTAGTGGGATATCATCCTCAGCAAACACCTTGGCAAACTCCCTGTATATTTCTGGGAGTTTGACTTCTTCCTTGCTGTTTGCTAGTGCGGCCTCGAGTTCTGTTGACAGAGTGGTTTTAT